CGCAAAACGGGGAGGAGTGGCTGACACATCAGAAGGCTGTGCTGCCATTCAGTGAGACGTAGACAGGCTGGAGAGTTGGGCAGGGGGAAACTTGATGAAATCCAACAAGGGCAAGTGTAGAGTCTTGCATCTGGGGAAGAACAACCCCATGTACCAGTTACAGGTTGGGGGACTGACCTGCTGGAGGGCAGTGTAGGAGAAAGAGACTTGGGGGTCCTGGTGCACAGGAGGATGACCATGAGCCAGCAATGTGCCCTTGTGGCCAAGAAGGCCAATGGCATCCTTGGGTGCATTGGAAAGGGTGAAGTTAATAGGTCAAGGGAGCTTCTCCTTCCCCTCTATTCTGCCTTGGTGAGGCTGCATTTGGAATATTGTGTCCAGTTCTGGGCCCCACAGTTCAAGAAGGACAGGCAACTGCTTGAAAGAGTCCGGGGCAGAGCTACAAAGATGATGAAGGGAGTGGAACATCTCCCTTATGAGGAAAGGCTGAGGGAGCTGAGTCTCTTGAGCTTGGAGGAGAGGAGACTGAGGGGCGACTTCATCAGTGTTTACAAATATGATAAGGGCGGGTGTCAGGAGGATGGAGCCAGGCTTTTTTCAGTGATAGAACAAGGGGCAATGGGTGCAAACTAGAGCATCAGAGGTTCCATGCAAACATCAGAAAAAAACTTCTTCACTGTGAGGGTGACAGAGCACTGGAACAGGCTGCCCAGAGAGGTTGTAGAGTCTCCTTCACTGGAGACATTCAAAACCCACCTGGACACATTCCTGTGTGATGTGCTCTGGGTGATCCTGCTCTGGTAGTGGGGTTGGACCAGGTGATCTTTCGAGGTCCCTTTCAACCCCTAAGATTCTGTGTGATTCTGTGTGATTAATGAAGCTTCTTAATGTAATACAATTTATGTACCCATCTTCCATGGTCTTGGGAAAGGGAGCAAAAGAGTATCTTCAGTAGCAGAAAGTTCAGCTGAACAGTTAATGGGATGAGCTTCTAGTGGCTATTTACTAGGTCAGCTGGGGATGTTATTTTTCTACTGTGGGACAGCACTCGTTGAACATTCATGATGCAAGAAACTACAGAGACTTAATACCTAGCTATTGAACAGCTAGCATAAGAACCTGTGAGAAACAGTTCTTAGCAGGCTCTGAACTCCTAGAGTCAACTACTCCACAAGATTGAGTTGTGCACAAGAGAATCATCAGCCACATTGATACTCATTTGGCATGAAGAGTTGCTTCTGTTTAATGTCATTAGGAAACATCACTTGAGATACTACAGTTTCATATAACATCCATAAGTTTCTACATTTCCAGTTTGAGACAAATATTTAAATTCATAGCTTTTTTTTGAATTACAGAAAGTGCAAGAGGTTTATATACAAAACTAATTGCATTACTGGCTGAATTGGTTACTAAAGCTGATTTCAAGTTGACTTTCTTAGCTCTCCAGTTCAGCAATTGCTTAGGCATTTGATTTAACGATACTACTTCAAGTTTATACTTAGTATTAATAGAAAAACCTCTGGCACATCAGTCATCACCACTGGCCAAGAATGTAGCTGTTACAGTCAGGTATAACCAACTGATTTAAAGATCTGTTAGTAAAGAGGTTCTTTTAAAAAAAGGCACAGTTTAAGATTATCTCACATTAATGGCACAGAGGTGTTATATCCCCTTTAAGAAATCTAGGCATGGAGTGAAGCCATGATTGTCATTTTGTTTTCTAGCATGCTGGAAACATGCCACAGTACACCATGTGACAACTCAAACTGGGAAACATCAGTGATATTTACTGAGATATATGCAAGAAACTTATCTGCTTGTTCCACTTTATCTGCCAAGCTACCTTAACAGCAAAATAATCCTGATAAATTCCCTCCCTGGAAAAAAAGCCCTATGAGCACCAAGAAAACAGTTAGTGTCCGTGACTACCTCAATTTTCTGCAGGGAGTGTTTCAGTTTATCAGACCCTACAGTGTAGATCTCTAATACTCAGGACTCCAGCAGTTCCATTACAGACTCCAGTTATTAGACATTTATGGAAGAATGATACTTTTACCTTAGTTAAATAGACAAGTATTGGATTATTATTTTTTTTTCCTCCTTATCACAATTTACATCTTTGTGGCTCAGGCACCAAGTAATATCTTCAGTCACCAATTAGAACTGAGTACTGTCCACTTAACTTTACAACTGGCTGCTGTTTTGATAACAGGCAACTGACCTAGTTGTTTAAGGTGTGGAGTTTCAGCTACTAATTCATTTCTCTTATGTGAAGGTAACACTTCTTCCCCAGGTACATTGAGTTCCTGTATTTTAGGACAGCCAAGTGCTACACAAAGTGAAATTGTGGTGACTGTGTTTACAAGATGCATGACTTTGTGTTACCATTCTTGCAAAGAACTAAAGTAAAGTTAACATCCACCAATTTGAATTTGGGTGTCCATCATAAGTCCAATGCTATTGGACTATTTGCTTTGCCCCGAATTATCTTCACATCATGTTCTTTGATGGTTCATATTTAAATCCACCAGGACACGTTTTAGATCACAAACATCACAGGACAGCAGAGTGGGCAGACAGCAAAGTGAAACATGCAGAAAAATCATGTTGAGACGAGGTCCAGTTATTCCAGTTGCCCTTGTCCGGTTATGCCTAGTATGACAAAAAGGACGTAGGATCAGGATGGCTGTAAGTTAGGGGTATTTTTGCATAAGTTCACTTAGAGCCAACTGAGAACAAAACTAAAACAATAAATAGTGACACTTTTCTTTGGTTATAAACCAGACAGCATTTCAGAGGACTACAGTGTTTGGCAGAAGAATATATTTGTTAGCCTGATAGTTCATGTTCTTTGGTCAATGGTATGCAAATTTGAGTTACAATAATTTCTAAAAACAAAAGCTCTCATAACCACCCTTACTGTGTTTTTACTCCAATTATTGCAGAGTACAACTCACAACTATTTAGGGGATTACACTTCAGAAGGCTGTATAGGTCATTGTGTGTTAGCACTCTCCTGAAGAGACATCTGAAGGAATATAGTCAGCACCTCTAGGTTTTGCAGCACATACTCATTACTTTGTTCAAGGAAAAGAAATGTAGATCTATTATGGCCTTGAGACTTAACTCTGTGGCAGAATAAAATTTTTATTTCTAAGAAAGTAAAGCTGGCTAAGCTTAGCCAGAATGCAGCCATGTACAAGTCTAAGTAGAGGTACTTAACCAAAAGTGTTCTTCTAGGGACTGTTTGCCACACTTCAGAGAAGCATTAGTCTAGTGTTGTTTTTAGCCAGATCTTTACCAAAGGTTTTCCAAATCCATTTTGGACAATAAAGTAGGTTGTCTTATTAGTGGAAGGCTTACCTGATCTATGCAAATGGGTTGCCGAAAGGATCACCAAAAGGATCATAAGATGGTTTCTGAGATTCCTTCTAGGGAAAG